ATATAATATAGTAATAAATATTGACATTCACTTAAATTTCATTCTTAGTAATACTTGATCTACAATTGAATTTTTTCTATTATAAAATAATTATTTAAAATAATATGAAAGTTTAGAAAATATTTTTGTAAGAAAAAAATATTAGACTTTATTTGAATTTTAAATTTTCAATATTAGTTGCACAAATTTTAGTTATAACTAAAACTTAGAGTTACTTATAAAGTTGATTTCAAAATAAAGTCTTTAATGTGAGGAAGTAGTGATGAATGTTGGTTTTATTAAAGCATATAAAAATTAAATAACAAAAATTTAGAGTTACTTCTAGAATTGATTTCAAAATAAAATCTTCAATATGATGAATTAGTGATGAATGTGGTTTTTTTTAAAGCATATAAAAATTGAAATATAACTAGGTAATCATTCAAAAATTATTTTAAAAAAAAAATAAAAAACCTTCGAAGATCCGAACCAAACCATACCAAACCGAACCGTCTCAATTGTCCCGAATACCGAACCGAACTAAACCGAAAAATAAAATTCTCCGAACCGAACCGAACCAAATTTTTGGTACGGTTCCGGAGATCGAATTTTGGGATCTCCGAAGTTTGGTACGGTTCTGGTACCGACCCACGCTCACCCCTATTTTAGGGTGTGAATTTGGCTTAACCAAAAAAAAAAAATGAAGAACAATATGTACCTTAATCTTCTTCAATGGTGAAAAATTAGGGCTGCGCGATTTTTGGGTGTCAATTTGGGGAAGAAGACCTGAAATTAAATGGCTGATATTAAGGGTAAAAAATAATTCCGCAGTTTTTGGGATGAAAAAACGAAGAAAAAGTCGCACAGAACGCGCGTGCACGCCACTTCCGTCATCTTAGACGAGTTTATGGGATTTCGCGCTTGCCAAAGTACAATAGAAAGGGGTTTGACGTATTTTTTAAAATAGAGGGAGATAACGTGCAGATTTAGTATATTACAGGAACTTTAGTGCATTTTACTCATTCAAAAAATTTACTATTTTATAGTCCGAATTAAAATCAATTGCATTGCTTTTCAACCAAGACCGGCCAGCAGGTCGAATTGGGACCCGGCCGACCCGGGACCCGGCCAACCCAAGGACAAATTCAATTCGGGTAGGTTATTTGGACCGGGTAACAATAAACCCGGTCAAAACCGAGAGTGTAGTTTAGAAAAATTGTACTAGCCGTCTCTGCACCATATATCGGTTGATCAGAGGAGCGTGTGAAAGGCTCTATAAGAAAGTCTTTTTTTTTTTTTTTT